TGCTAGATTCCTCTGGGCTAGGAAAGAATGTCTTATTTGGGAATAGGCTCCACCTAGGAACTAGGTATTCACCTTGTTAGACATCAGCTCTGGGTACTGGAGATGAAAGCCCCAGAGAATACTTTTGGAGACGTGCAAATTGGGAAGCTGGTAGCGGCAGAAATGACCCAGCTGGATGGAAGCTTTGTAGGGGAACCCAGTTACATGGCTGGAGATGGCCAAGCCTGCTGCCCCCAATGTCTGTGAACCTGAAATGGACCTCTTCTACTTTCCCCTGTGGGCAGGGACCTAAGAAACTTCTCCAATTGACAGGGCAGGAGAGTGGGATGGCTAAAAGCACCGGCCCTTCTGCCAGGTAGATCTGGATTCCAATTCTTGCTAGAACACTAATTGGCTGTGTGACTGCAGGCAAGTTATTTAACCTCTCTGAGCCTCAGTTTTCTTAGCAGCAATCTAGGTGTAATCCTGGTACCTCCTTCAAAAGGTTGATGTGGTTACTAGATGAGATGCCGTATGTTAAGGGCTTGATACATACTGAGCAGTCTACAGATGATGGCTATTCGTACGTTAGTATTTTTTATTATCATAGCTAAAGTAAACCAGAGGAATATACTGGCGGGGGGAACGTGGGCTTTGGATTCAGACCAACCGAGATGCAAATTCCAGTCTCACATGTGCAAGTTGCTTCTCTGAGCCTCAGTGTCTTCATCTGCAAATGGGGATAGGATTGTGACTAAGGTAAATGAGGTATGCATGAACAGGGTGTACCACAAGGGCTGACAAAGAGTAAAAACCAATAAACAACTCTGGCATTTTTCCGAATATTATCACGCAGGGCTAGCAGCCTCAGCACTGACCGAATTCCCACTGTGTGGAAAGTTCTTTCTCCTGGGAAGATGGGGGTAGCCTCACTCTCCCTGCCCCCTAGCCCCGTGGTTCCCCGTTTTCCTGAGTCCCTGTGGCCCCCTGTGGAGGTGGAGGTGCCTGCTTGACTAGAGGCGCACTGTTGACAGCCCCCCCCCC